GACAAAACTATTGCATTTTACATATTTGGATGAATTTTCAAAAAATTTCATTTTTTAATTTTTTAATTTTTATATATTTTTTTGCCGGTCCAGTTTGGTTTTAAACCGCAATTAAAATTCTCAAACCTAAACCAAACTATTTTGACCGGTTTGGTTGGTTTGGGTCAAAACCATTTCGTTGATCGGATTCACGTGGCACCAAACTGACGATTTCTAAAATGCGATTTTGGTTCAGTTTTCCGATTTTTGCTTACAGCCCTACACACAATCACTCCAAGCAAGAAGGCAAACGTGAAAACCTCAATCCAATCCAATATTATCTCAACTCTCACCCATTGCGACTTTGAATTTTTTCTCTCCTCCTCTCACGGCCTCACTCTCGTCTCTGAACCCTCTACGCGACGCTGACGTCGCCTTCCGTCCATTAGCAATTCCTTTGTGCTGATTGATTGAGAATGGAGATGGGTAAATCTTATTACAAGGACTCTTTGCAATGTGTAAGAATTGCGGTAAATATTAGACCACTGATTAAATCCGAGCTTGATGTAGGATGTACTAACTGCATCTCCGTGTTCCTAGCTGAAAGTCACGTAGTCATTCAACTAATTTTTTTACAAGGTTTGCTGCATTGAGTTTTATATGTGAGGGGATGGGTTTGAACTTTGGACATTAAGTTTGTTCTGGAGTTCCATGGGTGAGATCTTATTTGGGGAAAGAACTACATTTTTTTAGAGCACGAGTTCCTTCTGTATATGATTTTTAGCATTTCAGGAAGGAGAAGTTTGCTTCTTTTTTGCACAGCGTCTCTTAAAATCCAAACTGATAGATGCATATTGATATGTATAAGTTATTACCATGGAGGTTCAATAAGCTTGTTTTAATATTGCTCGTAGACTAGTAAATGAAGTTGCAGAATATCGTTTGAAGGGTATCATTATTGTTTCTGTCTAACTATATTAAAATAAATAGCGCCAGATTTGGTGACCAGCTTACTCTTATTATTGATTCAATTATGTTCATAAATGTGTTTTAACATTTTTGTTTTGGGGTGGGAGGAGGATGAGGGAGATGCACTGCATAAAGTGTGAGAGTAGTTAAAATTTTGAGAATATTCAAAACTAAGTTAGCAAAAGAGCGTACATTAAAATTTTGAGAATATTCAATTTTGACCAGGTGTACTGTTTTTTACTATTGAAGAACTTGGTGCAAGTTCAGATTTTTTGAGGAATACTTTTGGGTTTCAATTATGTAATATGAGTATTAAAAGAGCGTACATTGAGATTTTGTAGGTCAAATGATTGGACAATGAAAAATCTCCATTTTTTTAGTGAATAGCAAAATATCGAGAAATCTATTGTTCAAGAGAAAATATATAATTTAATTTTTGACCACACAATGAAGAATGTATGGGTCTGCAACTGATAGTGTTGTGATGCTTTTGTTGTAGTGTTAATTTGAGGATCTGGTGGAACAGCATATACAGAATTTTGTTCTTCATCTCCAATGACAAATTATGTGGTTCTGGGATTTGAAAATTAGAACCTCGAGAATGTAAGTTTCCCTTTTTATTATTATTTATATTTATAATATTTTTGGCAAATAATTTTCATTTTTTATTAATTTACATGTCGTCGATGTATAATTTGTTTTATTTAACAACGTATAAAGATGACACGTATTTGATTTAGATATAATCAGTTTAAAGAGTAAACTTGACATGGTTGTCTGGACCTTTTTTCTCTAGATTAGTGAGCATTTATTTGTTTGAAGCATATTAATATCAATAATGCACATTGTATTTCTTTAGATAAAACATGATTGACAGTATTTGACACCATCCATAAATGTCCTTTTATATGTGTAATGCCGTTTCAGGGTTTGGGTGCTAATTTAAGTAGAGTGATTGTTATTATATGGTAGTTTTTTTAATATGGATCAATTGTCTTATTCATCATCCTAGATCACGAGGTTGATGGATATTTGAAAATTGTTGAAAGTCATGCTTTAAGGTTGTTGAAAGTCATACATTAGATATCAGGCACCTTTTTTAGTGCCTGATATCTAATGTATGACTTTCAACAACCTTAAAGCATGACTTTCAACAATTTTCAAATATCCATCAACCTCGTGATCTAGGATGTTGAATAAGACAATCGATCCATATTGAAAAATTACCATGTAATAGCAATCACTCCACTTAAATTAGCACACAAGCCCTGAAACAACGTTATACATGTAAAATGATATTTATGTATGGTATCAAATAATGTCAATCATGTTTTACCTAAAGAAATATTGCGTGCAATATCAACATTAATGTGCTTCGGACAAATGAATGCTCACTAATCTAGAGAAAATAACATTCAGACAACCAACATGCCAAGTATTCTCTTTAAACTGTATCTATCTAAATCAAATACATAATTTCATCTTTATACATTGTTAAATAAAACAAATAATACATCGATGGCGTATAAAATATGAAAATTATTTGCCAAAAATATAATAAACGCAAATAAAAATGAAACTTACATTCTCGAGTCAAATTTTTCAAATTCTAAAACCACATAAATTGTCATTGGAGATGAAGGAAGAATAAAATTTTGTTTATGCTGCTCCACCAAAGTCCTCAAATTAACACCATAACAAATGCTTCACAACAATAACAATCAGTGGCGGAGCCATACATTCTTCATTGTGTGGTCAAAAATTAAGTTGTATATTTTCTCTTGAACAATCTATTTATCAACATTTTGTTATTCACTAAAAAAAAAAAAATGGAGATTTTGCATCTCAATGTATGCTCTTTTGATACTCATATTACAGAATTAAACCCCTAAAGTATTCCTGAAAAAAATTTGAACTCGTACCAAATTCTTCAATAGTCAAGAATAGTACATATGCTAACTTGGTTTTGAAGATTCACAGAATTTTATCAACTCTCCCACTTTATGCAGTGCATCTTCCTCTCTTTCAAAAACAAGAAAAGTTTTACACATCTATGAATATGATCGAATCAACAATAAGAGTTAGTTGGTCACCAAATCTGGCGCTATTTATTTTAATATAGCTAGACAAAAACAATCTTGATACCCTTCAAACAATATTCTGCAACTTAATTTACTAATCTTTGAGCAATATTAAAACAAGCCTATTGAACCATCATGGTAATGATTTATACATATCAGTATGCATCTACTAGTTTGGGTTTTAAGAGACGTACAAAAGAGAAGCAAACTTCTCCTGCCTGAAATGCTAAAAATTATCTATAGAAGGAACTCGTCTAGTATTATCTAAAGAAATGAGTTTTGATGCCTCTCACATCCTTAGCACAGCTCAATGGATCTCAACTGCAAAGATAAAAATCATGCTTGCAACTAACCTAATCACAAAATTAGTAGTGCAGTCTGAATTGGATAGTGTGGCAATAGAAAGGAGATGAGCAAAACATCTAAGAAGAATTAAGTAATTGATTAGGAAAAATTGGCCAAGGAATATGGCAATAATTCAGTGTTAAATATTTATAACAATAAAGTCCGAAAAAATTCTATCTGAAAAGCTGATTTGTAAAAAATGCATTGGAGCATTTAAGGATATGTACTAATAATCATGCTGAAAATTTTACTTCATTTCACTTTTTCACAAGTAAATTTGTGATGTTACTATGGGAAGCAAAAGAAGTAATGACTAAAAAATTTAACATCCATTTTTCAATCGAAACAATAGATGGGTCGAATTCCTGCTGCTAACACATATATCATTAAATAAAATAAACTTGGATGAATTCTAGCTCTTAATTTCATCGTTAAGTCCAGATATGAAAATTGCAGCTACCTTCCCCATTTCCCGAGCATGAAATGTCGTGGGCTATAGATGAAAAAACGCGTTTGGACATAAAAACTCCAGGACTTCGCCTCAACACAGACCCCATTTGAAAGTAGTGAGCAAAGTGTTCTATAAAATGTTGGGAGCTAAGCTTAGTTGTAAAAGTACTTGTGGAGTTTAACGAGTAAAATATGATGGATCTTAATTTCTGTAGCTTCATTTTTTTGGTGATTGCTGGGTTTCTCTCTGATAGTGTTTTTGGGAAGAGAGGAAAAGTTGTGGGGGTGGTTTCTTGAGCATTGATGGAGAAAGGGAGATTTGTGGGTTAGGTAAGGCCCCTTGTACAGGGGGGCCGAGCTGACCCCCTATGATAGGTTGGGGGCTGATAAATCGACTCCTCGTGATACAGGGGCCTGTACCCCAAGCAGGCCCCTTTGTGGGTATGGGAAAGTGAGACTGCAAATTGTTCGACCATTCCATTTATTTCATTTTGATTTTCCAGTTGAGAAAATAATGTATTGATGGAAAATGTATAAATAAAAAATAAGAAATTTTTTTGGATTTATGTGTAATATTATTTTATTGAAATAGTAGTCCCGTTTCCATCTAATCTGCCATTTAAAATTGCTTGTGCAAGGACTGTGAGGGTGAAATGCGTAAAACGCAATAATTTATTAAGAAATTAATAGAACAGGAAATAGGAGATAGAAAGAAAAAGAAAAAGCATAATTTCCTTTTTTATTTTATTTTTTGTTTTAGTTAAAAGTAAGTGTACAATTGCCATTTTGAACCAAAAAAAAAAGGCTTTTTAACTGGCAAATTGACGGTTTTCATCTATGGGGCTATTTCTGCAACAATATTGGAAGGTTGATGATCAAAATATTCCATTTTAAAGTTTGCGGACAAACTTGGTGAACAGAGCCAAGAGGTTGAAGCACTATAGTGCAATTTTTCCTTAATATAATTATGTCCGAAAGCATGTTATGTATTATGTATAAAGTTTTTTTTTTTTTTTTTTTTTTACAATCTGTACCATTCTTGTATTCTATATGCTATAGAGACAATTCTTTTTTTTTTTTTAAAGAATTTTTATCTGTCTTCTTTTCTTTTTTTTTTTTTTTTTTTTTTTTTTTTTTATAAATTTTTTTTTTTTTTTTTTTTTTGTAAAAGCACGTTTGTACATTGGACTACCATTGTGTGTATCCTTTTAGACACTTCATGTGATATTGTGCTGAAACATTTTGTTTTATCCTTAGGTGCCCCCTGATTTTTACATTCCCGATTTTGATGAAGATGAACTGAATCCTGATGAACGTGTAGATCGTAAGTAAAACCTGTATAGCTACATGATTACACTTGGTCGAGGCCTATTTTTTTCTCCTTGTGGTTTTATTATACGCTTCCAGCATGTGCTAAGTTTGCTACCTTTATCCTTGATTTAAATGCCATCTCAGGACACACGAAAGACAAGCAAATCCAGCGTGATGATGAATTTTACGCAGGTGATAACGATAACGACCATATTATGGATGATGCATGATGTGTAAAGTTGGTGATGACAAAATTCCAATTTTTGAGATTTGTAGGTCTCAGCTTTTAGTGTGAATATGTGAAGAAAATAGACATGATTAGCTTTCATTTGTAATGCTTTTTGCCTTCTATAAGAAATAGAAAAAATATGGGCAAGAAACTTCCATTCAGCTGTTTAACTTTGGTTCTTTTTCTTTCTGTAATTTCAATGACTTGGCAGGATAATTATGTAGTTGAGTTATAATGGACGATTTGTACCTTGTAGAATGGTTTTTGGATGTATTAATTTCCAACTCATATGCAATTTATGTAGATTTTTTGAGAATAAATTTGTGAAAAAATAATTTTTTCCTTTTGAGAATGTGTGGTTAAAAAGTATGAAAAAATTATGGGTTTACATGTTAAATTATTTTATTTGAAATTTGTGTGGTAGAAAATGATGGAGAAAATGAGTTTTTAGAGAGAATGTGCCAAATTAATCTTTTTAAGCCTTTTGCATATAACCTTGATAAGGATATTGCCATTTGTACACTGTTCTTTCCACCCAAGTTCGGCATTGCCTTTGTTGTCAAAAAATTGTGGGCAAGAAAGCCTTTTTTGTCTTTTTGGCGACTAACAATTTGCAAAGTGATAAACTGTCAAACTAAAGTGTACATCAAAGCATAATTTTCTTGATAAACACAAGGGACTTGTTTGTAAACTGAATAGGATTGGTGAATAGAAATCTTTGTTATTCATTAGCCTCTTCGACTTGAGCTTCACTTGCACCCGAATTAATTTAATTGGGGTTATATTTATTCTATGCCCAATGTTAATCAAGGAATTGGGGATTGTGGGGTGATTGGATTTGGAGCTACGGTTGGGATAAATAAGGCTTTCATTGATTCTTGACTTTTACTGTGTGTGTCCAAATAGTGAAGAGTAAGGAGTTGAAATTTTTGAAAGAAAATGAAAAGCTTAAGATTTAATGCAATTTTTTATGGACAAAATGGAGCTTGAAAAATGTTGTATATTGTGACAAAAGATATTGTCCAAAGATAGGTTTTTTTAGTCCCTGTTTGGCCGTGATTTTTCAATGGATTTTCAGCCATTTTCTTACCGTTGAGTCCAACTGTGGATCCCACCAAAAAAAGAGTCAGTCAAAAATTACGGTCACAACGATGCATATTGTGACAAAAGGTATTGTCCAAAGATAGGTTTTTTTAGCCCTTGTCTGGCCGTGATTTTTCAATGGATTTTCAACCATTTTCTTACCGTTGATTCCAACCGCGGGTCCCACCAAAAAAAGAGTCAAGTCAAAAATTACGGCCACAACGGTCGGAAAATCTATTTTTTTCAGTCAATAATCTACACCAGACAGGGTCTTAGTGTCAAAAATGTGTTGGAAGAGTTTGATATTAAAAAAAATCGTGGACCCCCCTTGTGAGTGGGTCGGTATACCGAGGTGTCAAACCCGGTGTACAACTAACAAGATCTATAAAATAGTGAATCGAAGTGCATAGTTGATCGCACTCAGCACTAGGGATAGAACAGAATATGAAAAAATCTCATGACTTCATCGGATTCTTAATGAATGTTTGTTTAAATATTAAATTGTATTAAAAAAAACTTTAAAATTTAATAAATAGGGAATTGCTTGCCATTCTTACTCATGATGATTTCCCTCCATCTTTGATTTCGCTAAAAATCAAATTTTTAGTAAATTCTGATAAAAATTATGAAATATATTGTTGAAATGTAGATAAAAATTGCGAGTCTTATGAAATATATGATTAAAAATAAATTTTAGAAAATAGGAACCAAATAAGAGCTCGTGAGTGAAGCTTTTTTTTTTTTTTTTTTTTTTCCTTTTTCATTTTTGGGTCACGATCGGACCTTTGTAAGACTTAATACTAAAATAGAGGTTTTGAGTTCGAATTTTGTAAGGCATGTGTGTCAACAAGAATTCAAAATTTTTTTAAATCTTTTTTCTATTTTTTATAATGAATTTATTTTACTAATACCATCGCAATTTCGGGGAAAATTAACAAAACAAAGTTAAATAAATTAATTTATATCATTTATTTATATACTATTTAAATTATAAATAAAAAAATAA